GGTGCAGACTGACTGTTCTATGCCTGCCTTTAGGATCCTCTACTATTAGGGCAATTGCTTGTTTAGAGTTTGTCCATTGACCCCATAGTTAATAATACCTGAATAATAGTTAGACTAACTCTACAGTGTCTTTTAGACATCTATGCCAAGACTTTACCTAGTAATTTCTAGTGAACATGTACATCAAGAATACATTTTAATGGTATCTCATTATCCATTAGTGAGTTAATCATTTTTTGTGCACAAATAGATGACATTAGTTTCATCCTTGGCGACTAATTGATATATAAAGCACTTGGGAAGCAGAGGCAGGTGGATCTCTGTGAGTCCAAGGCCAGCATGGGCTACACAGTGAGTTCCAGGACAGCCAGGGCTGTTACACAGAGAAACCTTGTCGAAGAGGTGAAGCTTCAATAGTCCCATCGTTACTTCACAGCTGTCCTCCATGTCTGCTGACATTTTAAAGTCCTTCTCTCCAGCCTGGCTGGATGACTGCAAGGCCGCCTTCGGTACCACTGTGCACCTAAGAGCAAGATGACTTGGACTATGACAGCTCGGCTCACCTGAAGGTCACTTCTGCTACAATTAATCACTAAAGTCCCCTTAGCCAATGTGATTAAGACAAGGGGCCAGTCAGAAAATTAAAAGAGAGTTATTATTTATGCTATGTATATAGAGAGAGCATGCCGGGAATCTGAGCCCTTTGGTGGTTAAGGCAGAAAGATCAGGACTTCAAGGATATCCTCAGCTACACAATGAATTCAAGGCCAGTTTGGGCTACATGAAATCCTGTCTATAACAAAAAGAAAACCAATTTACTCATGCTTTCATTTATCCCCTCCCTCCATCTCTTCTGATGCACGCACATGCACAATTGTGTGTGCTTGGTATATATACTAAGAAATGAAGAACATCATCTCCAAGAGGACTTCAAAGTGATTTTCTCAGGCTAGAGAGATGACTCAGATCTAGGTTCAGTTCCTAGCCAGTTCCCACATGACCATCTGGGACTCCAGTCCCAGGGATCTTATGCCCTCTTCTAGTCTCCCAGGCACTAAGTACACACGTGGCATATATACATAGAAAATAAAAATAAAACATGGTTTTCTTAATAAGATAAAACTAGAGGAAAACTTTGAACAATGTTATAGATAAAATTATTGCTTCTATAAGATAGGTCAGCATTCCAACAGGCAGAAATAACTGTACTCTGTGGGCTCAAAGCAAAAGAGAGGACATGAAAAGGGGAAAGGGAAGTGCTGGGAATGCCCGGGGGTGGGGGGTTGGGAGGAGGATGTGTGAATTCAATCAGGATACATTGTTTACATATAAGAAACAGTCACATAATAAAAGATATTCTGTAATAATTCTAAAATTAAAACTAAGCTTGTTATTCTTATGCTCTGGTCCCTTTAAGGGCAAGTCACGCCCACTCCCAGCCACTTCTGACCTCCCTTGTTGCCATCTTAACCCTTCCTCTTCTGTCCCTCTCCTGGCTTGTGCACACGTGTTTTCCTCTCTCTGTCCTCTTTTCTATTTCTGCCTTTCTTTCTCTCCTTCTTCTTTAAGTAATAAATGTTTACCCTTATGTTTAGCCTTACGTCTATTTATTATGTCCTGTAAGTCTTTTATCTGCCACACCTGTCCGCCTGCTCTCTGGGCCGCATGGCGGGACCAGCTCTGCGGCTTGCCATGGGAAACCTGCACCCCTTTGGCGGCAGCCTCTGCCTGGCTTGCAGGCCGCTGGGGGACCCCAACATCATATCATTAAAGAACAAAAAAGCTTTTTTCAAAGATTGGTACAGTGGATCTCCAAAAATTAGTTTTAGAAAGCAAACACTCTTCCACTAAGGCTGATAACTTGAGAGTCCATGTTACAAACTGACACAAGAATAAACTTCTTTTATCTTTCTACACATGAAGACAATGTGACAAGGAGTAAATCCATGGTTTTTTCTAAGACCTTGGGACAGAAGTTGGAAATGCTAGCATGTATCTTTCCGGGTTCTTGTGCTTGTTGGCCAGCTAGGGATCAGCCCAGGGCTTCACATGATGGGCAAGGATTCTACCACTGAGTTCCATCCCTAGCCCTAGGATACTACATTTTTTATGAGAAAAAAAATATTAGGAATAATATAATCAGATAGAAATTTTGGTTTTAAGATTTATAAATCTAATGACTTTGTTAGAGGATGCTTTTGCCTTACCTTTAATAACTCGAAGTAATGCCAACAATGATACACTGGCACCAGCATAAGACGTGGCAGGACGTAACGAACAGCTTCCTTAAAGCCATCAGCAATGGACTGCAAAGTAAAAAGACACAGGGTAGCTCTGAGACCAGGGACACAGCAGCTGTGCCTAAGGGAGACAGCCTATCCCCCAGCACAGTACTGACAGCACACACATTTCTGCATGTTAGATGGGGAAGTGACTTTGTAATGTTGTCTACAGATTTTCCTCAAGATCCAGGTTTCCACATACCATAAAAAATTAAATTTATTTAAACTTTTCTTTTTTGTTTTCTTTAAAGACAGAGTTTCATGGTGTAGCCCTGCCTGTCTTGGAATTCACTCTGTAGACCAGGCTGGCCTTGAACTCAGAGAAGCCTGCCTCTGCCTCCCGAGTGCTGGAATTAATGATATTTAAAGTCTAAAACGGACGGGCTAGTCACGGTGAGAGGTCAAGGAAGAATGGCTGCACAGTACAGGCATTCTGGGCTACATATCTAGAACCTATCTTAAAAAAGAAACAACAGCCACTCACTAGGAAAAGGAAGTAAATTCAAATAGTTACAAAGAATGTTTTTAAGGAAGTTGTACACTACAAATGTTTCTTAAAAAAATTCCCCAGTGAATAAATAAATTTCAGGTTTAGTTTATTTATGAAGAATATTTGGTATCTAAGTCAACTGGCAAAGCTAGTTCTGCTTACAAAATGGACAGCTGTGTCAGAGTGCTGTCAGGGAGCCTGAGGAGAGTAAGTTCTTCTAGCCTTCGCTGGGTGGTCTGGGTGTTCCAGCACTTCAGAGCCTCAGGCAGAAACCAACCCACGCATTAGGTTTGCAGTTAGGATGTAGGGACACACCTTTGAGAAAGGGGCTATTAAGGGCCTAAGCCGTGTGCTGGCCCCTTCCACCATCTGAAAACACAGCTAGTGAGATGCCCCACCATGAACAAAGGAGAAACCCTCATCAGACCATGAATCTGCCAGCACCATGGGTCTGGAATCCCCAGCCTCTAAATAGTAGGAATCCCAGCTTCATCTGTTTAGCTGCCCAGTTGATATCTTCTGTTACTGCTGCATGGCGGACTAGCACAGCATTCAGTTACTTACTGATCTGAATTAGTCAGCTTAGAAGTTCTTGCTAGAACCAATAAACCACTTTAAAGCTAGTCTACAAAGACCATCTATTTTATTAGTTTGCAGTGAAATGACTACTGAAGTGCATTCTAAAACTCTGGACTGCTAATTATCAGTAGATGGATCTAACTGATAATAACATAAGCTAACACTTATTGAATGTGTAATATGTGCTAGACATTATGATGCTTTACATAGATTCTCATCACTATATTTATGTGTACGCTGCGCTTGCCACAGCATGCACGCGGAGGTGAAAGGACAGCGTGAGGGAGACAGCTCTCTCTCTCCACCCTGTGGTCCTGGTCCTGGGGATTACACTCAGGTTACCAGGATTGCAGCAAGTGCCTTTACCCACAGAGCCATTTCACATCCCTTAGTTTGCTTCATAATCAGAAGGTGTGGATCTTTTTTTTTTTTTTTTTTTTATGGTGGATACAGGGTCTTTATATATAGTTCTGGCTATCCTTAAACTCACTCCATAGACCAGCCTGGCCTTGAACTCACTGAGATCGCTCTGTCTCTGCTGGGACTAAAGCTGTGTGCCACCAAGCCCGGCTGTGTACATTATTTTTATCTCCTTTTATGCTGTAAAGATCAGCAAACTGACTATCAGAGATAACACAATTCTAGTTGACCCAAACTGTAGGTTCTGACTCCAAAGCTCTTTTTTTAAAAGTTCTTTTGTGTGTGTGCTAGCAATTGAACCCAGGGCCTGCACCTGATGTAACTGTTCTGCCACTGAGCTGCACCCCCAGCCCTGAGACCATTTCCTTAAATTACACTGCAGTTCACATTTGCTTTTGTTGTCTGCTGTTTCAAAGACAAGGCCTCATTATGTCGCCCACTTTGGTCAAAAACTTTTATCAATCCTCCTGCCTCAGCCTCCTATGTGCTGAGAAAACAGGCATTTTAATCACCACGCCTGACTTTTTCTAAAAGTACAGTTTCTAAAGGTAGACGGATTTTGTTTTCTTTTTAATGATGCATTACTTCACTGAATGGTACTTTAAAGTTAATATCATACAAGTGAGTTTTGTCTAAAAATGATCTTATCCAACTCTTTTACCTCATGGATAGCTGGAGAAATAGCTTACAAAATCAGATTCCAGGGACTAGGATGTAGAAAGTTTGCTTAGTGTGCACAGACACTGGGTTTGACCCCGGTGCCCTCGCCTGCCCCCAGAGTCTATAGGTTCTTAGGGTGCACAGGCACTGGGTTTGACCCCTGGTGCCCTCGCCCCACCCCCAGAGTTTATAGGTTCTAATCTCACAGAAAAGAATTCCTGATGTTTTGTTGTGATCTAGCTGCCCTCACTCCCCCTGACCCGCAGTGGAACTTCCTTGTGGTCTGTAATTGACAAGGATGTTTGTGTTCTTTCTGGCCAGTGATTTTCCACAGAAGCAGTAGAGGTATAAAAGGATTTATCAGGCCGAAATAAAGGTTGCTGTTCTTCCACCTGAAAAGAAGCCTCTGCGTCTCAATCCCAGCACCGCCACAGTCTCTGCATCCAGGCCGTGCTGGCTGTGGCAGTTCTATTGGCTCTTTCTTTTGTTTGGCCTGGGAATTGAATCAGGGCTTTTCCGTGTCATGTTAAGTGCTCTACCACCAAGCTACAAACACAGCTCAGACTTCCTAAAGAAACAAACAACAACAACAAAAAAAAACCAAACAAACAAAAAACAAAACCAGAACTATGTCCTTAGTGTGTGTAATTATCAGTTTTTTGTTTATATGAGCAATATTTTTTTAAAAAAAAATCCCACTTTGAAGCAAACTTTTGAGAATTAAATGAAATTTATATTCTATATTAACATATTTCTGAGAGTTGTACACTATAAGCTCAGGAAGAGAATTCACATTAAAGATGCAGGGAGAAGATAGTACATTCAGTTTTAAATGTTAGATCTGAGCCAGGTGTGGTTGTATACACATGTAACCCTGGCTCTCAGGAGGTCAAGACAGAAAGAACACAAATCTGAGAGCAGCCTGTGCTGTGCAGGGTAGTACTATCCTACCTCAAACACAGGAACAGAAAAGACTATGGACTAAGCTTAGCAGTAGAGTATTTACCTAGCAGACAGGTCATAACTAATAAGCAGTCAAATACCATCAATACCAGCAAAGTTTTGTTGTAAATGTTGACAGAATAAAGGTGTAAGTCTATCTCATTCTAAGTATTTTCATCTTACCTAAGATATATTTACACCTGTTTTAAAGTATTTATATAAAAAATAAAAATCTTTAACCAGGTGGTGGTGGCCCATACCTTTATTCCCAGCACTTTGGAGGCAGAGGCAGTTAGATCTGAGTTTGAGGGCAGCCTGGTCTATAGAGCAAGGACAGCAGGGCTACATAGAGAACCTTGTCTTAAAAAAAAAAAAGATTTTTCTGTGTGTATATGTGTGTGTACATTTGTATGCATGTGTGTGAGCATGTGTTTGTGTGCATGTGTGTGTTTGTGTGCATATGTGTGTGTGCCCAGAGTCCAGAAGAGGGATTGTCAGATCCCCTGGAGCTGGAGTTACCAGCAGTTCTGAGTCACGCAATGTGGTGCCTGGAAGTGAACTCTAGTTTTCTCCAAGAGCAGCAAGCACTCTTGAGGCTGAGCCATCTCTTTAACTTCCTTTAAACTGTACAACTGATAAAATAAGTATTGTTATATATGAAATTATTCTGAGTTATTGATTTCCCCAAATATTTCTCTTAGAGATACCAAAACAGCTTTCCAGATTCATCTCTACACCCCTGATGGAGAACCCTCAGAGCCCATGGTAACTAAGCGCGTGTGATGTGCTAAGAGAAGAGTGAAATAACTCAGCACGGCTGCCGTTCTTGGAAGCACCACAGCTCAGACCACCAGCACGCGTGTGGAAAAGCTGCGGAGTGGCCTGTGCCTACAGCCCCCAGGCTGGGTGTCCCAGTACTGAGGGGAGACTGTTCTGGGGGTGGTCTCAGTGCTGGGGGATGGAGGGTGGAAAGGCAGATCCTTACATCTGCTGGACAATCAACCTAAACTACTCGACATATTCCAGGCCGGTGGGAGGTTGTCTCAAATAAAAAGGTGGACAGAACCTAAGAACAAGAACTAAAGTTGTGTTGACACACGTGCATACATGTACACATATAAAATGGATTAGATGGACTAATGAGAGATTTTTCCACTTTCTTTTGAAAGATAATGAAATATTTCTGCACTTATTTCATGATAAAATAATAACAACTGAACTCAAGTTTACCTGGAAATGTAGAACAACTGCAGGTCTGGCCATCAACTTACTGAAGAGGTCATTAAACTCTGGTGAAAGAATGTCCTGTGATAATGTTTCATAGGGATCAAATGCTTGCTCCTATTTTTAAAAATAATGTAAAGTGTTAGGTTTAAGGAAAATATATATTTATGCTAATACTGAACATATTATATTATCTAACGACAATATTTCATTCATGTCTCTAACTATGTCTTATCACCTTTGGTTCTCTACTTTTCAGGGAAAACAATAGTTATGGTTACAAGGAATACACTTCTAAAAATACGGGCCGTAAACAGTAGCTATACAGTAACAGGACTTAAAACTAAACGGCTGGTTTTATGGCATCCAACTACTAAAATGTATATTTTATCCCTACAAAATTTAAAGTACATTTCTTTGTAAAATAAAACTATAAATGCAAACTTACCTAGGTTGAAATGAATTTACTAAATGATACTCTTAAAGAAAGCAACTTGTTTTACCTACTCAAGTTTTCAAAATTAGAAGAGCAAATATATAGTAAATGTAGAAACTGCCTAAACTAATTTCATACTTATAAAAATTCAGTTATCTGAGGATGATTGGTAATTCAGATTTATTTCCTTTTTGTACCTTCAAAATACAAAATATGGGACTGGAGAGACAACTCAGTGGTTAAGAGCACTGGCTGCTCTTCCAGAGGACCAGAGTTCAGTTCTTAGCACTCACAAGGCAGCTTACAACCATCTGTAACTCCAGTTTCAAGGGACTGTGCACCCTCTTCAGGACTCCCGAGGTACACTTGTGGTTGTAGAGGCCCAAAACTGTGAGCCTATTTTCACCTTGTCTGAAGGTTAGAGAGTTTGAAGTCTCTCAATTGCTAATGAAGATCAGGGCTACACGTCCTGGATCAGGATGTGGTTACTTGGTCCTTTTGACATTAAGATGGTCAGTATAGTTAGATCTACGCCACCCTGATCAGAGGTCAGAGAATTCAAGCAACTTCTGCTCCTTCTTTTGAAATAGGAGATTTGACCTTGGGAGTGGCTGCCTTCAGGATATTTGGTCTAGGGTGGGTTCACTGCCTAAACAACAGAATGCTAATGACAAAGTATTGAAGCAAGTAACTGTTCTAGCTGTCCTTTGTATCCTGTTAGAGCAGTCTTTTGTCCCCCCCCCCCCAGCTGTGGTATTGGGGTATAAAAGTGTACAGAAAATTAAATGTGGGCGATTTCAGTATTCACTGGGATTCCCTCCCAGTACTATTCTATGGTTTCTGCTTTATTATTTTTCACGCATCTTCGTATTCTAAATCACCATGCCCCTACCCTGGCAAGAGGTGTTTTTGTTGAGGCTGGTCCTTGACATGTGGTGCACTGGCATACATGCAGGTGCTCACACACAGACATAATAAATATATGTTTTAAAGAAAGAAAAACAATAAGGATTTTTGTTTAGCTAGGTAAATACTGAGAAAGCAGAACTGTCCACTGCTAGGAATGTTAAAGTAGCACAGCCCATGTGTAATGACTGTTGTGTCTCTTTAAGAGACAAGCCATGCCCACTCCCTCCCTCATCCACTGAGGCAGGCTGATCTTCAGCTTCCGGTCTGAGCTCACTCTCTTTTCTGTCTTTCTCTCAGAGAGGCAGCTTTACTTCTGCCTCTCTCCCCACTTCTCCGCTTTCCCCCTTCTCCCCCCCCTCTCTCTGCTCTTCTCTCCTTCTCCCTTCCTCCTCCATAACCCCCAAATAAATATCCAATCTCACTCTGCATGCTGTGCCTATCCCTGTCTGTCTCTTGCCCGCCACGTGTCACCTTGCCTGGGATCAGCCACTGCCTCTGCCTGGGACTGGCTGCTCTCAGGGCCCATTGTCTGCCGCCACATGGCCCGCTACCACCACTTGGGGACCTACAGCATTTCTGCTGCCTACTGCTGCTGCCAGGGATCCTGCAGCATTTTTAATTTTTCCATTACATTTTGGTGCTGTGACTCTTAAAGAGATACAACAGTCATTACATCATGAAAATCAATTTGTCTTTAAAAATTAAGACATATTTACCACATGATCCAGTATTCTCATACTTTAGTATCTCACCCCAGTAATAGAAAATGCCATAGCAACGGACCATTCTACACCATAGCACTGGACAGTATTCTACACCATAGCACTGGAT